TTTTCTACCTTTAACTACACGAGTTCAACGCCAAATTTCTTTTTTTCCCTTCTATAGAAATTAGTACAGAATGAAGCATATTTAGTTTATAATTTTCAATAATTTAGTGCCTTGATGTACATATATATATTAAAATAATTTAAGTAATAATTATGACTTTTTTATAAAAAATCAACCGACCTCAACAGTTTGTAGAATTACGTCTATTTTAAGTTTTATTACAATCAGTTAATGGAAAGCGGGTGAAATCCAATAAACTGAATTCATCCCCTAATACACCCCTTACAGATGTAATATTTTCTTCAAATTTGAATAGGTGTCATCTAAATCAGTACATCAATATCGGAGTATCGCTTAATATACACACATAAAAGTAAAGTCGAATTGAGAACCTCCTCCTTTTTTAAGTCACTTAAAAAAAACTAAATGTACCTCTTCATTATAAAACCTGTTCATTCTTTCAGGATGAAACAATAGAATCGTCATACCAACGATATTCTAGAAGGCAACGGCAAAGATCACTAATAATGGTAAACATAGTCGACTTAGCGCTCAAAGTAAGTACACAGTATATACTTATACTATACTAAAACATACATATATACACTCATAAGCGCTCAGTATATAATTGTTTGTTCCAGGTTTGTCTATCTGTGACAACATTAACTAGTAGCAAAAGTAAGTAAATAATGTTACGTTAAAAGATAAGCGGTGACGTACGAGTAGGCTGGAGTTCCGTCCTTAGGTTTGAATATTCAGAGGATTACCACGGAACGTTTCGCTTCTAAATTTATATGGTGAACGGCTAAAGGAATGGAATTCCTTGCCTGGAAATTTATTCCTACTACAACTTGGGCCTTTTCATGGCGAGAGTGAATAGGCATTGGAATAATGTGCATGACCTCACCGTCACTTTCCATCAAGATCCGACAACAAGCACATAGAAAAATTCGTGAAGTCCGCTGGTTCGTTCCGTGGCTTAGTTGGCATAGCGTCTGACACGGTTTGCTACAAGACGTCGGTTCGAATCGAAGGATTTTCTTTTAAGTGTCGATCTTTGTATTAATAATTGAAATAAAATACTGAATATTGGAACTATAACTTTTACCTTGAAATTTAGTCGCGTGTATTAATGTGTTTACAGTTACAGTGTGTCCAAACAGAAAATTCTTGGATCATATCCAATGTAATTATGAATTGGTTATAGGGATTCTCACAAAGCGTAGCCTGTTTTGATTGTTACACTTACTATCCCGAAATTATCTTCAACAATCTCATTAGGGAAGTTATTTAATCTAATTACGCAAATGTGATTACACAATTGCTTATTATATACAGTCCAACAACATTTACTAGAAACTATTTTAGGTAAAACACAGTACAAATTTTGGATTGAGGATTGTCAATCATTACCTAAAATTCTTGCAAATACCAAGTATATAACTTAAGTTATATTTATATTATAACTTAAGTTTATAACTTGGACCGTTTCAAGGCGAGAGTAAATAGGCAATATTTAGGTGTGCATGCTCTATAGTCAACCTCATCGTCACTTTCCATCAGGTGAGATGGAGGTCAAATGCACACTTACATTAGAATAAATATAGAAAAGTTGTAGACAGAAGAACACTAACCAAGCCGGGGATCGAATCCGGGACCTCAGAGATGGCGACACCATGAAAACCTGTGATCAAACCTCTCGGTCACGGAAGTAGCCGTGTATGTTTATATTTTTTTTTTATAACGCACACTCAACATAGCGCCGCACTAGGGAAACCATGTGTCGCGAGTGCCATGGACACACACATAGACAACCACAAAATTATACCCAAACTCACGAGAGAAATAAATGTAGGCTGTACAAATTTTTCTCCCGGCCCGGGAATCGAACCTGGGACCTTATTTGAAGGACGTATATATTTTCATAATAATAAAGTGTAGTTGGAAATAGTACATTGTATATTAAGGGCCGAATGTTGAAGACTTTAATGACTCGCGGTTTGTAATTTTTACCGCCCGTGCTACATACAATGTTTTTCATAACATTTGCGAATATGTAGATACAACGATAATTTATTTCTTGTATGAATGAATATCGCTTCACAACACAACATTTACGGATTTTGAAAATGGCGGGTTTTTTGTTTTTTTTTGTTTAAAAACAGATTATCAGCATTATCAACTCGTTAAAATATTATAAACGGTACAGACACATGCAGCCACAATGTATTAGATATAAAACAAATCATTTCCAAATTTAAAAAATACTGCAGAATTTGATTTCACAAAATAAATTTAGTAAATAGTACATTATGATACAAGTGTGCTAAGTTGGTCATTACACACGAGGCGTTATTACTCGCGCGAGCCGCAGGCGAGCGCGATAAGAAAGCCGAGAGTGTAATGATCAAAGCACACGTGTTTCATACGACGTTTTTCAACACATTTGCGAGGAAAATGAAACAAACTTGAGTAAAATGGAAATGAAAAATAGCTTTATTTGGCATTAATTATACAGATACACTGAATACTATATTAAGCTCACGTTAATGTAAATAATATTATTCTATTCTATACTATATCTATCAATAGCAATTAATTAAGAGTCTCCAAAGCCTATCAAAGTCATTGTATCTTGATTTTATCAAAAATGTAGTTATTTAAATTTAATTATTAAAACAATTGTTAAATGTACAATTTTCAAAATGGTAACGTGCAGTTTTGTTAGGCATTTGAACCGTCTGTGTGATATTATTTGTTACTATTTCATTATTGTCTTCTTGCGTAAAAGTCGGTGATACGGGTTCATTGTGTACAAATATGGATGAAAGTGGTGGTGGTTCATTTAAAGACTCAGAAATAGACAACCTAGGTAACAAATAACTTGTATCACGGGAGGTGGATGGCTGCGGTTCAGGACACATCTTCTTAACCTGGGGCTCCAGATTTATAGCGTGGGTTATTTGAGTACATATGTTGGACTTATTTCGAACTGAATCTTCAACATAAGACTCAGCAACTGTGCTAGATCGCCCGCCACCATGACGCTTTAAAGTAAGCAAATCAGCTCCCGAGTCAGCTAGCAATGTAGCTGATGTTCTTCGGAAACTATGCCCAGTGTATAAATCCGGGTCGGGTAGATTTAAAAACTTGGCAATTTCTTTAGGCATTGCACCAAATTTATTAATGCCTATTGGCTGAGCCACGCATCTACCCTTCTGGTAGTTTTGAAAAAACCGATCGGATTTTGCCTTATCTGTCCTAAGCGCTTCGTACTTTTTTACTATGTCGTAAAATGGACCGTGAATGGCAAACGATCTCGGTACCTTATTTTTAGTGTTGTTAATTTTAATCAAAAGCATTTGGCCATGAGTTTCTACGTCTTTTGCCGTTACTTCGCTTAGTTCTTGGCGTCTACACGCGCCAGTGACACCAAATATCATTGCAACCTGTAAAGAAATTAAAAATATAGGTATTTTCGCAAATATAATACAAGAAAAATGAAAACATAAAAAAATTAAGGTTTAATACGATCAACTGACCTTTGTTGCTAAATACTGATAATCGGGGGCTTCTTTTAAAAACTTTTCGACGTCAGTTGGCGAAAGTACCTTCGATTTTCTTGCAACATACCCATCAGAGCGTCTCTTTAAAAATGCCGTCAGATTTGAATAGTTTTTTATGTCTATGTTATTCTTGTTCTTTACTGTGGTCTTTAACATAGAATAAATGCACCAGAGCGAGCTGGGCTTAAACCTATTCGCCAGTTCATTAAAATAGGCAAGAAAAACATTTTCTGAAAACGAAGACGCTTTTTTGTTGGTTTTCCATTGTATAAAAGTTTCATATGCAGCCATGTATTTTTCTCTGGATTTCGAAGGTAATAAACTGTCACTTGCGTTTTGTGCCTCTGTGAGGATTTCGGGCGGTGTTAAAACCATCAAAATGTTTTCTTCCGTGCTTGAGCAGGACATTTTAAACACCTAGGTAATTATCTAACACACAGCGTATATAAACGTTTCGAACGTATCAATGGAAATTGGCGCGCAGAGTTATTTTTTCTGCGCCTGGCGCCGCGGCGCGGATATGCGCGCGCAGGTGCTTCGGCAATAATGAGACTTAGGTGAAATTCCTAAACAGCCAATGCGAAATAATATAAATATGTCCTTATTTCACTCAAATTCGTGTAAAATATTATCCAAAATAAGTAATTTTATTCAATTAAAGTTTTATAGGTGTATATTGTGTATGTTTTTCTATATTTATCACATCAAATAAGAAATATAAATTTATTAATAAAAATATTATTTGTAAGGTAAGACTACACAACCGTATTAAACAGAAATAAAAAAAAAAACTGTGACCCTGTTTGTTTGGGATTACTGTCATTGTAATTTGAATCTTATAATATGTAGGTTAGAGCTGTTTTTTTTAATAGACCAAGTTAATTTCAAAGACATAACCCGGATAATTTAAGAATGCATAGTTTTAATACATAGGCCTTGTTGTGAGATACATCTTAATCCGGTTAAGCCTATACTTATTACAAACACGTTTTGTAATATAATTACAAACGCGTGTTCAATAGCTAGGTTTATGAGCCTAAAAGCGATACAATAAGAAGCCCGTTACGAGCAAATGTGTTGAAAATATAGTTAAATTGCAGATGTTGTTTTTATACTTTAAGTTTATGCGAGTATACAATATACGTTTAGATTTCTCGACATAAATTTTTTTACTTAATCTTGACGTGAAAAATCCGTGGGGCGATAACGTGATGAAAAAGCCCGTGTGCATAATTTAGGACATTACGGTCAACTTTACCTGCATGTCATGACACTGTTAACTAGTAAGTGTGATGAAAAACAATTTTGTACGTTTCAGCTACAAAAATGGACGCGTATGCGATCGCATCAACTATAGCGTTTGCTTCTCTCAACGTCGGAGTATGTCTGCTGGGCTGCTGGCGTTGTTTCGCCAACAACTATCTGCACTGGGCGGCTGCTGCTACGTGGATCCTCCTCATCGCGCAGGGTTGGTCGCAAGTCTTCGCCCCGACCTATCCTGGTGTTTGTCTTTTATGTATTGTCTCTTAGTGTTAAAAACATGTTATGTAATTAGATTGCAAAATTCAGAATGGTCTTGTATCTTAAATAAGGGGTTTTCCAATAAGGACATAACAATTTTTAATAATTAAGATATCGGAGTGAAATTTATTCCACGTGCATCCAAACCCATAACCCATTTTAAAAGCTCGTTACTCACATAGAGTGGCCATCTAATAGATCATCTAGCCGATATCTAGGATTTTATAATACTCTATCTGAGTAACGAGGTTTGTCTAATAAAACTGAGTAGGTACGCTTATTTCAGCGAATTCGGAACTTTAAAAGGCTCCCCTATGAACTTGGCAATTTTACTTTACGTAGGAGGGGTTGATTTCAGCTAGGCATAATTAGGGTAAGTTCCGATAACTGGAACAAGTTAACTAATTTTAACTGTTTTATAAGATAATTTTGTGTTCTATCTTTTGCTATTTAAATCGGATATTTGACCATTTATCATTTAGCCGCATTTAATTAGTGGACGGCAGATGTCACATTTAAGAATGGAATTCAATCTCGTTCATATGACAACCGCGAGCACGTTTGCAGTGGTCACATAGCTGGTCAAACGGTCGATCTACTGAAGACGAGGTTCGATAATCGTATGATCTCGCGAAATGGTCCGGTTGAATGGATAAGTCATTGGTTTATGCCAACAAGCAAACAACGTTAAATGAGCTCAGGAATAATATTAAACTCGAAATTGCCAACGTTTCGATCGAATAGAGTGGAAGAGTGCTGAAAAATTGACTCCAAAGAATTGAACGCTGGAAACATGCTCGCGGTGGTCAAATTAATGAGATCGAATTGTATTCTTAAATGTAACATGTGTACTGGAATAGATTTCAGCTGGATATGTCAATTAGTCTGTGTTTTATTCAAATACAAAATTGTTATGTCCTTATTGAAAAACTCATATAATAAATGCCCGCACATTATCTATAATATACTTTTGTTGATGTAAACAACAAGATCTAGGCATTTGGTGTTTAGTTGTTGCTATTTATAAAGTTTTTCAAAAAGATATTGCCTAATAGAGAGAACTGCCGCCATTCACCACTTTCGAATTACATATAATTACTTTACTAAAGTGATCACTTGCTTTGATTACAAAGAAAAACATGATACGAGACCTGCTAGTTGGTAAAGTTTTGCTGAACTCTTATGAGACGTTCGACGTCACCAACCGGTATGGTGGTGGGCTATACATCAACGGTTAATAACAAAAATTACGTCCAATCAAATTCTGATATAGCGTATAGTAAAACGAGGTATTTCTTAATTCAACCTTTTTATAAACTATGAATATATGTATGTTACCACGCATGAGTAAAGATGTACACAGTTTGTGTGAATCCAATTTTGTTTAATGTTAATGCGTGTTTGTGAGATGTTACTGTTCTGGAAATGTATTTTTTTTTGTGTATTGGATTTTACACCTTTGATTATTGCATATAAATGTTATTAGACTTTGGCAATGTTGTTGTAAAAAGTTTGTGGAGTTGATTGTACGTTTCAAATATCTTCCCCATTAGCACAAATGAACTTAACGTATAACTACTATTGACGAAAATTAAATATTTGTATACTAAATAGAGCACGACTGTGTAATTTTTTTTTTCGCCAATATTATAAGTTACTCCCGTACGTATAAAGGAGTCACCACAACTGTTAAAGCGGAATCGGCTTGAGCCGATCAGGAAAAGCATTATGTCCATGCAATGAGGGCGAAAACGAAATACGCGTTTCGGTTCAGGGTGTCTACTCTCGTTCTCCATCCGACATCCGAAACAATTACTGTCAAATAAGTAATACTCGACCAAGACAATGTCAAGTATTAAACTCTTATTTTGGTCGAGTATTATTTATTTGTTATTGTTTCGGACGGATGTTGGACGGAGAACGCTGCTCTGACCGCCCGCCGACGCGAAACGCACGTCGTTTTCGTCTTTCTCGACTAAAAGCTTTTTTGACGGCTTAATGCGATTCCTTGTCGATAATAGTGGTAACTTCCCTAAAAGTATCGATACGTTACAGGCATGTCATGTTAAATGGAGTAACGTTAATTTATCTGTATCAAATCAAATATTAACTAAAAGCGGACAACTCTTTTATGACAATAATATGAAATTTTTCACAGGTCTCAGTGGCATGGCAATAGGCTTTCAAGCGACAGAGAATCAAGTATGGTACATGCTGTTCATAATTTTCGCGCCATACGCAATGTTGCCCCTTTCGTTAGGCTGGTGCATCGTCATCGGTCTACTGACGTCAATTTCTCACGTACTGGCAACAGCTGTGGAGATCAAAGCCAATGTGCCAAATCCTAGCAAGCCGTATTTGGTAAGTCTAGATACATACATACTGGTCAAACATTTTAGTAGAGGCAGACCTTCAGATTGCAGTATTTCCCTGGACGAACTCTTTCACAAGGAGCTCTACTGCTAGTAAATAGAAAGACAAAAAATATATTATTCGTTTAATACCTACTGTAAGCTTGGACATAGCTCGTGTTGCGTAGCGAGAGGTACTTTTGTAAATATAAACTGGGATAATCTTCAACACTTACTTTATTGTACTTTTTACATATTTTCACTTTTAGGTTACATCTTGAACTCTCTTTCTATTTCATTTTTTCAAACACATTCTAAATACAAAACTATATTCACTCAGCCAGTAGTTCTACTCATAGAGTAGAGCCTAGACTACACTACTAAGTTGTATAAATTTCACAGGCAAGCAAGGCAAATACTTGTTTTCAATTGACATTTTATCATTACGACCTCCCCATTAAGAGAACAACTAGACCATGAGCGGTTTACTTTTTAATATTCCTAATAATTTCAACAGTTAGAGCTTAATTGCAACTTTATAACAACATTTTAGTACTCCTATTTTTTACCAGAAATCTTCAAACCACAATTACTACAAAGCGTTGTAATTGTAGTCTGACAAAAATTGTTTATACCATCTAACGCTAAGATGTTGGCTGATAAGTACAGTCGACGCCTTAAGATACCTGACACCTTACGGGCCTCACCACATTTATTCACACGGAATTGTCTTGAGCCGGTCAAAGAAAAACTTTTATACCCATGCAATAAGAGCGAAAAAAACGTCGCGCGTTTTGCTTCCGCTCGGATCGCCAAGATTTTTCTGCCCGGCTATTAAGCCGAATCCGTGTCTATAATGCCGAATGTGTGTGGTGACTCTTTGTCTGTTCGTTTGGTTCTGAGTAGATAAGCACGAAGAAAAGTGTTATACTAACTTAGCCTTAAACTTGTCAACAGTAAAATTAATTTTGTTATGACTTCCCGTTTGCATCATTAGTGAATGACGTTTTAAGAAACTTTTTAAGACTAAAACTAAAAGATCGCCAGAGGGTCAGTTATTTTAGAGCATCGACTGTAGGGGAAGCGTGGCAGTTTGATACAGGGGGCACATTCTACACTTGCATTATCTCTATACCTTCAGACATAATATTAGTTGTAGTAACACTGAAACGTGCCTTTGTACGTTTATCTATTAATGCAGTGATGCAGCTCTCCAGTTAACGGTTGTCGTTTTACAGATCATAAAGTGTTTTCACAGCCGTTGTCTAAGTAATAAGTGACACAAATACGAGTGCCACTGCAATTTTGTTCACTTTACGTGATCTATATCTTAATACAGAGTAATATAGTATTTTCAATAACTAGAATTTGTAGCAATATGTATAAAGATTTTTTTTAATAAATGTTTTTTTCTAAACGATGGGGTACTTTTATACATTTTATACACTAGTAGACGGGGCAGTACATATCAAAATGCTCAAATGTGAAACTATTTTAACATTACACACAAACCCAAAATTTACGAAAATCAGATTAATTGTGAAGTCATTAATGAAATCAAGTCGGCAATGTTCACAGCAACTTCAGACATTGCTTCAGACATTTGTAAAGACAGAGTTGTCTTTAAGACAAACACTTAAATACGAGAATAAATATACATAATGTTTCTAATTTACAGTACCCCATTGAAAGGTTTAAATCTGCAATTAAAAATTAAAGACCATTGCACATTTCAAAGTGCACAGATGTACAAGTATTCCCTGCAGAGCAGCAGAAGGCTTTTGTGCAGCAAGACGTTTTGTGTTTAACAAAACTGCCGGTACAGAGTTCCTCTTTGACAATTATGAAAGGGTATTGACGAGACACAAATTCATATCAGATCACATTATAGTATCTGTAGAAAGAGGTGAACTAGTGACATTTTGCGCTGTAGTCAACTCTTCCTCCTTCCAGGTTTGTCCAATACTGCCCATTGGACAATTCCCATTTTTTAAAAATTAAAATTTGTTAAAATTAAAATTTTTCGATTGTTTAATGTTATTTATGAAGAAAATATTAAATTAGTAATCTTTATTAGTTGTATCATCAGTTAAGCAGAGAAAATATTCATAATATGTTCATTTAGTAGCCCAAAATTTAAGTTAAAAAAAGTGTACGAATCTGCCTCTTCGCTTACCTCCACGTAAAAGCAATTCGGTGCTCTTTAGCAAAGAAATTTGTCACCAATTTTATCCAATAAATATTTGTAACGAGCCAAAAATGTCACGGTCATCAATTAACTATCATTAGCGAACCATTAGTACCCACTGTGTGCCTCCCCTCTTCAAGCTTTACTTTAATTGAAGTTATTTAGTTTTTCCTAACACAAGGGCTACTTGCGTCATATTCTACATTAGTTGGATCAGCAGGGGTCTCTAGCTATTAAACGTGGATGTAGAAATACATAAATAGACACAGATATTTTGTTAATATACAAGAATAAAAGACTGAAAAATTTACGAGAAACGTTTTGAAAGTAGTATTTATTAAATTGAATAATGATGAATTTACAGGCTTTAGGGTAACTACGCAGTATACGAAAATCAGAAAACGTACTGTTACTGAGATATAGATTATCATATAATTATTACTTGCTGTTAGAGAACTAACTATAGTAGCAGTAGAACTCCTTGTGAAATATTCGTCCGGGAAACTGCTGCCACCTTACCTATATCTGCCGCCAAGCAGTAATATGACCATTACTGCGTTTCGGTTATTAAGGTTAGGGTCAAGAGACTTGTCAAGTGATGTCTCAAGGTGATGGCAGCTAAATAAACTAAACTGAAATATAACTTAAAGCAATGCTTACAATGCAAATTTAAGTATTAATAGAAATTTAGTTTTAATTTTAATTTTATATAATAAAAATTTAAGTATTGGTTTAAAACGTACTTCGTGCAAGTTTAGTACAAGTGGACATTAGTCTTGTTACGGCCAACAACTAAGAGGAGATTATAAGGAATTAAAACAAACTGAATTTGATTTCCTAGACCTAAGAGTCTCATTTTTACAGACACCATCGTGCGGCATTCGTTTGCTAGTGAGTAACGCGCTGCTGTATACAGCTGTCAACTTTGCCGGCATGTACGCAAAATATCTGGCCGACTGGGGACAGAGAAAGGCGTTTCTAGAAACACACAGATCCATGGTCACCCGGCATAGAACAAAGAGGGAGAGCGACAGACAATGGAAACTATTTCAGAGCGGTAGGGGAGCCTTCAAATTAGACGCTTATAGAAGCGCTGCAGAGGCATGACTGTAATTTTATTAAATGTGATTTTTAGTTCACAAAAGCTCAGGTCACACAGACGCGGTACAGCGGGAAAAGCGGTCAGTGTGACACTCAAAAGCAACTACATTTCATTTTCTTCTCAGATTTTAAAGAAAACACAATATCGCTATGGGATAGTGCTCAAGAAATATTCTGCTTTTATTCGCGGTACGGAAGGAATGCAAAAGAAATTTCGGTTGAATTCATACTGAAACTTAATACAAACACAATCAAAACTTTTAAAAAAATACAACGGACAAACCCGCTTAAACCCCGCTCCCGAATCGCGCCCCGCCGTTGCCGCTCTGTGTGGACGATTGCGTAGAACTCAATGGAATACAGCTTTGCGCCCACGTCCGCGCCTGTTTGTTAGCGTTCGACTCAGGTTTCAATGAGGCAGGGTGCATAAGAACTCCAATATCCGCTCTTGCCTCCGCTACCGCCTTTGTGTGGTCAGGAGCATAATTGTTGTGACTGCAAAAGCGGCACGCTCATTTCACGACTGTGGCGCTTCAGTTGCGCTTCTAAATATTGTATGAAATTAGTGGCGGTGCCACTGTAGCGCTTCTATAAGCGTCTAATTTGAAGAGGCCCTAAGTCAGGTTAAGTTAAAACGCTTATAATTTTTTACTTGTACTTGGTTCCTATTCCCCCGTAGTTCGTATGACTACTTTATATAAATGACCGCTCCAAGCTTGCGGGTATTTTCCTTAACTCAATGTGTTAGGTTCCTAAAAATTATTAGTAATCAATATGTTATTATTTTTCTTAAGTCGGGAACGTAACATTGTTTATAATTTAATGTCTGAATCGTTGTGTGCGTTCTACTTAGGAAAAATTTCTTCCTTATTTTCTTTTTTTAATCGACTTCAAAGAAGGAGGAGGTTCTCAATTTGACTGTATTTTTGTATGTATATTAAGCGATAACTATATTTATGAACCGATTTTGATGATCCTTTTTTTGTTGGTAAGAGAGTACCTCAGTACCGGCCCCATTTAAATTTGAAGAAAATATTTCACCTTTAAAGGTGGCAAAGTAGGGGATGAATCTGGTTTCTCGCACTTTCCGGTAACCGATTTCAATAAAACTTGGCAAATACATGTAATTCCACGAACTTTTGAGGTTGGTATTTTTGTAAAAAAAAGTTACAATTATAATTATTATTTACACTTTTTATGGCGTGTAGTGCTCGCCTATAAGCAATTACAGATTTTTTTAATGTAATAATGCATTAAATTTGTAGTAATGGTTGGTGTACGTATTAGACAAATATAATAGAAATAAATATAACCTAACAAGATCTTTCAAAAGCAATTTATACAGACGACAGCAACACATTAACATATCTTCTTCAGTTGTTCTGGTGACGATATTGCCGCATAAAAGTGTGACAGCCTGTGCTGTCAACTGTACATGTTAATATTCTTAGTGAATTACATTTGCAGTAATACCAGATTTCCTGGCAAAAGAGATATACAATCATGTGGCGCGAGTCAAGGGCGAGTTTCAAGAACAACAATTCAACAATTTGTACATACAAAGGCATCAAGATGTGTCTATACTTTATGCTGATATCAAGGGATTCACAGGTAATTTTCTGCTTCGTTTTGATTTCTATCTTAGCCCTTTCATGTACAGTTCTTAAATAGTACCGCACACAAAAATGCTAGTACTTTTCTTGCCGTGGTCCTTACTCCGTCCGTATTTAATATTCTTTTATCTTTCACAAAATATTTAATTAATACAATTCCACTGTCATATTTACATCAATCAACTATTAATTCCGATCTTATAATCAATTATTAACCTTAATTGTCAGTACATTAATAAATAATTGGATTATTATTTTTAAACTTAAACTCTAACTTTTTAATATCAAAAGCGCTTCATGACGTACCTCATAGAGGAAACCACGGAAGAAATGTGGTCTGTGGAGGAAACATACATTACATTAAACGACTGTCAACGTGACCTATATATACCCATTACATTAATATCTTTTATTTCTGTTTTTTTTTCTTTGAAACGCTTCAATGACGAAGGACCTTTCTTTGGTAAAAGAATCTAATTTTGTTATTACTACTTTCAGAATTATCAAGTAAATGTAGCGCACAAGAATTAGTGAAATTATTGAATGAATTGTTCGCTCGATTCGACAGATTGGCATCGGTAAGTCCTCGTGCGAAACAAAACTTCAATTTCTCTTCACCAGCCTCCTTTTTTGTTTACGCGGAGAAATGCTTTATGCATACCTTCGAGCCCGTGGAGGCTCGAAGATTATGTAGGACTAACTTCCACGTGGAGGGCATACCCACTAAAACCATACTCACTTTCTTGGCCAGGTCTCGTAAATGACGTGGGATCCCGAAGGTACACCGCTACAACGTCCTTGGCCACCCCGATTTCCACTAGGGTTCTCGCGCTAAAGAGGGTCGGCTCTTTATCGATATCATCAAATTGCATTATGTCCCATAGGTTTAATTAGCTGTTAAGCTGTTTTTGTGAGTGAAAAAAATTAATAAATATTATTATTACTCATCCCCCCAGACGAGTGAGATCGCGAACCCTCCTCACCGCGGCACTGATTCATATACTAAATGTTGTCAAGTCGTTACTATGTCACAGAATCCGGTGAATTTGGATCATATTTTTTTTTCCAGGAGAACCATTGCCTTCGAATAAAGCTATTAGGCGATTGTTACTTCTGCGTAAGCGGCCTTCCAGATAGAAGGGATGACCACGCATTTTGCTGTGTGAACATGGGCTTGCACATGATCAGAGCTATCAGAGACGTGCGATATAATGCTCAGGTGACGTTTAAAATGTTAAGGCACTAGCACCTTACCTTGGAGGACTACTTAGATTAGTATCAGAAATCAGAAACAATTTATACCCTTGGCATAATAAAACCACATGTGATCATACGTCAAAAGTGCTTTTATAACATGAAGGTCACAAAAATGTAGTATTAGTGTTAACTTCGTGTGGTAGTTTAACAGATTTTATAACTCTGTTTAGTCTTAAAGAAGTTTTTCGAGTAATTTCGTTCGTAGAGCCTTTAAACTGCTGTCCTGAAAAGTGGTCATTATGCAGATGTGACCTTATTATACACGAAGGGCATTGACTTACAATTATATGGACGTCGGGTCCGCGCTAAAAAGTGTCCGCACTTGTAAGGCGCTAAAATCGTATACAGAGCGCCAAACTCCGCTTTAGTCTTCATTTGTTCGACTGACAGCGCGATACTGCGATGACATTACAATTTAAATTTCGAATAGGTTGACTTGGGACATTTTTTTCGTGGTTTTTGTATTAGACCCGTCGTCCATTTATTTGTAAGTCAATGACGAAGGGGGTGATTTTTAATAAGGCAACATCGATCCTTAGTGATTGAATGAATGACTGCTATTACTGCCTCTCCACTGACACTGTATCGAGACTCAACTGCCATTGCAACTAGATTTTAGCAGAATAGCAAATATCATCGTAATTGCAATATAATTTCAATGGAGTCTCAATCAATTACTATGACTTATCTTGAAACCACTGGGTTTCAAGAAAATTTGCTGAATTGGGCCCCAGTAGAGTTTAATCACTATGACGATTTCAAGTGTAATTTGCTTGCCTATGAAATAATAGTACAACAAGTGCATAAAACGCGTCATTTTACCCGAGACGAGTATAGGATACTTAAGTCGAGGGTAAAATGGGTATTATGATCGAGTTATACGAGTATATACTACTTATATTGCATTTTGATTGCGAGGAAAATAAGCAGCAATATTACAAATAAACGATTAAATAATTAAAATTGAATGTAAAATTACAACAATTAGACATATTTAATGTGATGGTTTTTTATTTTATTTTATGCACTAGAGCATAAAATCCTATTTTATGCAGCCTGTACCCAGAATAAATACGAACTGTAAGAGCATGAAAAGTGAAAAGATTATTTCAATATAAGTTTGAATAAACATACTTTTGCCCTTAGAATAATAACGCATAGAAACCTAGCCCGCACACGCTAAGTGAGGCAAGTTAGAGGGTTCCAAACGCGTCCCAGGAGCGCGCGGGCTGTTAGTGCTCAAGGTCATATTGCACCGCGAACAGCTCCAAAATTTTTTGCTAAAAATGACGAAATGTGCGGTAAATGGGTGTAAAAATACAACAGACAAACAAAATAGACACTAACATCGCATTCCACAAGTAAGTAATGCGTTTCAACTCATATTTTTATATAAATATTCACTAAAACAGAAAAATAATTTCGCGGCAACAAGATACGAAAGTGTTGCAAAGTAACGAATTTTTTTTCTCCCCATTTTGCTATTCTGTATCAAAATAATTATATTACGTAAATTTTAGTGGTGCCTGTAATTTCGATTTATTTGCGCATCTTGAAGTAATATTTACTTGAATAAACATTAAATGTTTTCGTTAACTCCTGTAAGTGATTGGGACACTTAATTATTTTATAATATTTTTAACGGCTTAATGCGTTCATGCTTTATTGAATAATTATTTATTTTAATTTTATTTGAATTGGAGCACATATTGCAACAAAATTTACAGTATATATATGTTTCTACTATAGTGTTGGCACCACCAGTACAACTTTGATAGCTTATTATATGTCTTTCTTTTCGAAACTCAAGCGAAATGTTTTATATTAAAATATTTTATTTTCTTAAAAGGGGAGCATTCTTAAGCGATTTTTTAATCTATTTTAACAGTTATTTTCTTTAATGTTTGCTTATGGCATTTTCGGTTTTAGGTTTCGAATATGGCACTTATTTCTAAATCCAAGATGGCGGGCGCGATTTTTCGAATAATGGCAAGTTGGGTATCGCTTTCGAGATGTTTGGGAATGTTCAATACAAATATGGCACTCATTTCTAAATCCAAGATGATAAACACGACAGTTCAAACAAAAGCAATATTCGTAATGAGCACCCCCAAATACCTCGAAAACGATACCCAACTTGCCATTATTTGAAAAATCGTGCCTGCCATCTTGGATTTACAAATAGTGCCATATTCGCATTGAGCATCCCCAAATACCTCGAAAATAATACCCACATAGCATTTTTTTGAAAAAATCGTGCCCGCCATCTTGGATTTAGAAATGAGTGCCATATTCGTAATGAGCACCCCCAAGTACCTCGAAAATGATACCCATATTGCATTTATTTGAAAACTCGTGTCCGCCATCTTGGATTTAGAAATGAGTGCCATATTCGTAATGAGCATCCCCAAATACCTCGAAAAGGATACCCATATAGCATATTTTGAAAAATCGTGTCCGCCATCTTGGATTTACAAATAAGTGCTATATTCGTTTTTCATCGACAAAACCGAGCATATCTGTCGGCATCTGATCGACATTGTCGATCGACAGTAACGATCGACAAAATCGAGCACATCTGTAGGCACCTGATCGACAATGTCGGTCAAATCTGTAGGCACCTTTAACTTAATGATTAGTTATGCAAGATACAATTTCCCCACTTTTGAGGGAAATGTTATTCTATGGCATCATTATTTGTATATTTGTGTGCGTGCCGACGAGCGTAGTTACAAGTTGCTTACGCCTACATGAATTTGGTTTTTGCCTCACTTGTGACAGTTCGTTTGATATGAAACTATCATTCTATGCGTTATTATTCTAAGCTTTTGCCTGAGAAAATATAAGTATATTGGTTCCAAAAGACTATAACTGTGGAACCAATAAATTAAAAAAGTCTCACGATCTTCCACATTGGAATTATAAAATTCACTTTTAATTTTAGGTGGACTTAGATATGAGGATAGGCATTCACAGCGGCACTGTACTGTGCGGCGTATTGGGTCTTCTCAAATGGCAGTTTGATCTTTGGTCTCATGACGTCACAGTTGCTAATCACATGGAGAGTGGAGGTTTACCAGGGTAAGTAATCTTTTATGTTTGTTCCGAGGGTGACCTATCACAAAGTCGAACATTTTTTTATCTAAAATAACGTTTGTTCGAATTTTCATTACACCGAAAACAGAATTATAACGAAACAGTTGTTCTTTTAGGATATGTTGAATGTTTATCGTAAAGACATGATTAGGTTCGGTTAGGTTAGGTTAAGATAGGTTTAAAAAAAAATCCTCTCAAAATTACTTTCGAGGTTATGAAATTTCGACCAAACGTTATTTCTGGAAAATGTCATTTCGGACTACTAATAGGTAACCTGTTCGGAGACAAGATACAGACCTCTCAGGTGCTTCTTCCATATTTGATATAATATTTCAAATTAACAGCTTTAAAATTTTGATAAACTCGTTGAGCTTGACTTTCGGTTGAAGAATTCTTAAAGCGAAATGGTAGTGTACTTATGTGCTAAAGGGCGAGCGGAGTAATAGTGCCCATCAGATCTTTGTCAATTCAAGCTCTGAGTGGCACTGAATCTGTTATGGACAGGCGTGTTGCTTACCACTTAAGCGACACGCCTGTCCATAACACTTGCAGTGTCACTCTTAGTGCCCCTCAGATTTTTGCGATTTCAAGATCTGAGGGGCTAAAACTTTGACTTTAAATCGCGAAAATATCAGGAGCACTGCCGTAGCACCTGTCACATTGAGACATAAGTTTACAAATCCAATTTCACCAGCACCTTTACCCTTCAAAACCGGAACGCAGTAATGCTCACGTTACTGCTTGGCGGCAGAAATAGGTAAGATGGCATTACTTCCCCGAACAAACCCTTTCACAAAGAACTCGACTCGGTGGCGCAGCGTCATTTTCTACCACCCGGGGCCAACGTGTAATTTGCTGCCCCTCTATTTTCACAATTACAAAAGTAGTTCGTTCAGCCAGGCTCGGGACAACTTTTTTTAATGTTCGCCTGCCGTCGCCACCTTTTTGTGTAGTTCAGGATATCGTTTTCTTAAATAGTGGAATTTATTTTCTAACTTTAAGTTAATTTTCGTTAATTGGGGCTCGGCCGCACTCGCTGTCCCCATTATTGCTCTGCAAGCTACTGCTACTAAAATATGTCGAACTTCACCTTAATATTCACTCGTTTTACAGGCGCGTGCATATTTCAGCGGCGACCTTCGAATGCCTGAATGGCACTTTTGAAGTCGAGCCAGGAGAAGGTGGCACAAGGAATCCTTACATTAGAGAGCAAAACTTGACCACCTATCTCATACGCACCACCGAACAACCCAGGAGAACAAGACATCGATCTAAATTAAAGTAATTTTATAATAAAGTCTCCATAGTGTATTTTTCTATGCATTCTCGGGGATCACCACCGCCTTATTTAAAGCATTATTACTGAATAAAATTGTTTACCACAAGTTACTAAAGCTACATTACTTACTATGTCGTATTTTCTCTTTACAGTAGCAACTTCTACGTGAATAGCATACACACGACGACGCAGCAAATCATAGAGTCGGTTCCCCGCCGACCGAGCAGCAGTATAGAAGACGAGATGACTGTAGACTGGACACCAGAGATGCCTTTTCAAAATGTTAGTCACTGTGTGCATATATCGCAGTCGTATTGCATAAAACGTCGTATTACATTACAGAAAGCCGGTTTGCAATACGGCGCTGTTTTCTAATACGGCTACCTTATCAATTAATTATTACCGGGTTTATTTCGGGTTGAAACCCACAATCGAGAGCAAAACCTATTTACAACTAAATACTTGTTGTAGATCGAGTTTGGTTCAATTTTGATGATATGATCACAAAATGTTTATTGCTTTCTGATCTAAATTTTGCAATTAAAGAAAAACGATTCGCTTGAAATTCGCATTGAAATAAATCGATACAAAAAATCGTTAAATCGTAAGCATTTGAATGGATTTTCCCAAAAATTCGAATCGTAATGTGCATCATTAGTAGGTAATGAGAATCTACAGGATCGCAAGGTGGCCGTAGTGTGAAGTTGCCTCTTTTTCGTCTAAAAAACATTTTTCACTTCGAAATTTGTAATAAATATGGAATTATACCAAATTCCATATTCACCGTTTCCGCGTACAATTTTGGGCAGAAATGTGTTAAAACCCGGCGCTATGGGTAAAAACTCGGTCATCCCAGCCCTGTTGATTGGCTTTTAACCCACTGCCCATCCCTGAATGAACTTCAAAATTCTTATAAGATTATGTTTGTTCTTTCTGGAGCTCAAAACATTTCACTCAAATATTCCTCTTACTCCACCTTATTTGTTTTTTCAAACAAACCGTGTCAAGCTCTTTACTGGTCATTTATTGACTTTTATTTGCAGTATTATTCAAGTGGAGCAGCGGGGGTAGTTCGCTGCCGGCGCCCGCGCCGTAGCCTTGATGTCGAACATGGTCAAGATAACGAAGATGTGTCTGCTATATCTGATGTATGTCAATCTAGCTATCGTAACTGCGTCAAATTCTAGCAAATCCTTTGTTTGTATTATTTTAATTTTCTCATTTGTTTATTTGTCACTTGAGTAAATTCAAAATGTAAGAAGTGCAAACCTGGAAAGTTCAAGCCTACCACGAAATACGACACTACGTGACTGCGTCCGCAACGAAGCTCATACATACTACACATATGACAGTTTTACGATGAAAGTAATGTCCAAATTCGATACGAAAGCTGTCACTTGCCGTTTCGGCGTAAAGACTTAGGTCAAATCACGACCTTCGTACGCGTTTAATTTTAGCCTCCGGTCCGATTCGAAGCTAAAACGATCGTTGCTTCGTATTTTGTATTTCGTGGTAGACCTGCAGTTCCAGTGCCATTTGTAACTGTTATTTAGTTATTTTTATGTACTTACTTTTTTAATAAACAATAAACATCAACAACAAGCAGCAACATTCTAACAATGAAATCTCCGAGAAACCCAAAACTTGATTAAGATATTGTTCTAGGAGGATGACGTAATAAACAACATCGAAGTAAGCAGCAATCGTCGCATGCGCATCGACAATATGGGCATGTTATCATTGCGATTCCGGCGGAAGTCATACGAGCAGCGCTTCGGTGAACTCGACGAGCGCACCTTCAAGTCCAACGTAATGTGCTGCTTGGTACTCTGGCTTTTCATCACCGCTGTGCAGTATGTAATGCATTTCAAGTAAGTCTTCTTTTACTTAAACTGAAATTACTTAAAGCCTCGACTGAGAAGAGACCCGTGCCCGTCAGTGAGACGTATCAATGGGTTAATGATAATGACGAAAATAATAAAACTTAAATTTGTTTAATTTTTCCTCTATCATGAGTGATACTGCGATCCATCCGCAAAAGTTATTTTCGTATACATCTTTTACGTTTTACTCTTATAAAATTTTACCTTAGTTTTTGTAACTTAATTTTTAAATTTTGAATAAATTACTATAAACTAATTTATATTATACGTAGATTGATTAGTTATACGTCTACATAGAATGAAACTAAAATATTTCGCACTAATGTCATATTTCATTGTAAGTATATATTTATCATTCCATACTGTGATGTTCCATAGGTACACTTAACATAACACACATAGCACTTAGTTTTAAGCTATTATAAATATGTTCAATATTTATTGTATGTGTAATTTAGGTAATAATGACGTATAATATTTAATAGTTTGACATTGATGGTTATTAGTTTGTACACACAAAATTTCATTACATTTTATGTGGGGTATTTTCTATATGGAATATATTCAATAATTTTTAAAAATACCTGAAGTTGATGATACGGATCTTTTGGTATAAAGAAAGTAACATCTGCAGGCTTAGCATGCACCCGAAGACAAAAATTATCTCTTCTTCGAACTGTCAATTTTCTCTCGAAAATCTCGAGAACATTTACAGTTCGAAGAAGAGATAACTTTTGTCTTCGTGTGCGCACACGTCAAAAGTGCATGTATCGCATGAAAATCATAAAAATGTTATGAACTACATAAAACAAATTATATATATATATATATACATATATCTACTTTTTTTGGATTGTGCCCTTATATTACTAAGGGTGCGATATATAAAATTATTTCTACTTACCTTCAAATACAAAATACTTAGCTTCACCTGAAATTGCATGCCTCTTTTTATACCTATAGATTTGTAAAGTACATGTTTCAATAAAAAGATGTTTCAAGATTGTTTACATTTAGTTAAGTACTTAAACAAATGGACTATAGCATAGGCAGATTGATTGTTTTCATGCAGATTGATTCTGCATAAAACCAATTATTAATGTTTTTAAAATCATTGAAATAATATTTTATTACAATACCAAAGAAAATAAAAAGCTTTTTCAAAACAAATTGGTTCGAACCTGTTGACCTGTATTACTAAAATTGTAATTTGATTATCTAACAATCTTAAAAAAGGAAAACAAACATGTCATAATAAAAATTTCATTTTCAGCTGCCATAAATTAGTGATAGCACTTCTACTGATGACGGTGCCATTATCCCTCTCCTTCATGGTGGTAATGTTTGAGGAGTTCCCCGAGGCGCTCCCGCGGCTTGCAAAGATCTCGGCCTGGGTCAGCGGCAGCCGAACACGACGGACAATTCACATTTGCTCCTACATCACCATTATGTCATTTTCTAGGTTAGTTGACGTCTATATAAATTTTCATCTACGATATCTACACTTTTGTTTTCTTTACCTTTGTGCGTCACATATTTAAAATCCTTCATTTTTCCATTATCACGCAGATTTAAAAAATTTACTTGTTACCGCAAATTCTTGTTAGACAATTACATCGAAGAAATGAAACTATCATAGCAATTATAATGTGCCAGACAACTATACCAATCGCCCGGTCTCAAACTAGGAAATTCCCTATACATTCATTTTCCAAATTGGTCCTACCGGGAATCGAACCCGGGACTCGGCATCCAACGTCCACTTATAAACTGTTAAGCCACAGAGGTCGTCAATCTAAAAGAACTAGTGGAGTAGCTACAAAAAAATGATATTATGGTAGTATAAAACATCAGGATATTTAATAAAAATAATATATATTGTATTGAAAATAATATAGCGACATGTCTGCCAGATTTCCGGTATCTGAAAAGGTACCTGACTGAGTGAAGAAACTTTCATATATTCTCACAGGTGAATTCCGTGAGTTCCGTAAATTCTGCTAGCGCGATCCATAGCTCAGTAGGTAAAGAGATATAAAGGTACAGACGCTGATTCGAATCCAGTCGGGTCGAAGGAATTGTTCTTTGTATCTGTACAATCTTTGTATCATAATTATAACAAACTAGTGGAATATTTTCACAAGAAATTTGATGAATATAATGATAATAACATCGTGATATTAAAAAAAATATTGTAAGTCTTCAAATAACAAGCTTTTTTTTTAATTTTCAGTACATTGAAACTATACTTATGTGAGTCCTCATTTCCAAAATGCTACAACGAGACTGATCGTCTAGATATCAATGAGACATTTGAGAATTACACTGTTACTAGCCAGATCGAAGAATGCTACAAACCTGAATACGTCGTTTTAACTTGGATTTTATGTCTTGTGGCTCTAACGTCGATCGTCAAACTGTACTATTTGATAAAAACCTGTTTGGCAATAACAAATGTCGCTATGTTCTTAATACTGCTCCTTCACTATTACGACGAGAAGGTCTATGATTCAAATAACGGGTAAGTTTTATCACATTTTTTTATGATAACAAGTGACGGTACGATCTTTAGCAGTCGCAATTACACTCAGAGCTTTAAATCGCATAAACCTTAGGGGTACTGCAACAGCGCCCGTTACCCTGAGACATAAGTTGACAAGCCTGTAATTTCACCAGCATCCTTATCCTTCAAAACTGGAACGCGGTAATGCTCATATTACCGTAGAGGCAGAAACAGATAAGGAGGCAGTACTTCCGTGGACGTACTCTTTCACAAGGAGCTGTACTGCTACTAAATATAAATATTTTTTTGTAGCGTAGGGCGCAAACGGTAGACGACTCTCATGACGAGAGGTGGTCATCGATATGCGTTACCAGCCTTTGAGAGCTCTGTTTACGCACTTTTTGAACAACCCCATGTAATAGAGCACAGGAAACACTTCAGGAGAGAGCCCATTCTACACTTTGCAGGTTCGAGAAAGGAACGAACGTGATGCCCGCGAGAGCCCATCATCACATCATTTTATGTGAGGATGGGCTCTAATCCTTTGGTGGGACGTGCAATGGCAAAAATAGTAATAATAACAATGATGATATTAAAATGTGACGGTGGTACCTTTCATTTAGTAAGATAATTGTTATAGATAATTGGACAAATAGTATTTCGTAGACGTATTTATTAATAAGAACAATAACATATTTCAGTGATTTGCCGTTCTACGTACAAATGCTAATACTAATGCTAATGTTCCTCGTGATGGTGATCTATCAAGCTCGTCTAATAGAAGTGACAGCACGGCTAGACTTCTTATGGAAACTGCAGGCTGAGACGGATTTGGAAGAGATGAAAGACACACAGAAAACAAACAGACATTTGCTCAAACATATATTACCCGATCATGTTATTAATCATTTTTTAAGCAAGGAACGATGTCCTGATGTAAGTTGAGAGCATAATACGCAAAAAGTACAAAATTTTCCATCAACAAATTTGACTAAGGCTTCCGAAATAATTAACTTACATGAATTCTTTTTACAAAGAAATATTTATTACATTTGTAAATTTAGTTCTGGTGTTCCACAAGCCACGATTTTGAAGCCATTTTTTTTATTGTATATAAAAAGAATTTGGTTCAATTTTTTCTTATTTTATGTATTTAGTGTAACCAATTTCACAAATATTTATTTTCTTACCTACAGGAGCTATATTCCCAATGGCGAGATGAAGTAGGAGTTATGTTCGCAGGCATTCCGAATTTCCACGAATTCTACTCGGAACAAAAGGCCGTGGACTGCATGCGGCTGCTCAACGAAATCATTTGTAATGTACCAATCGTTTATTCCTTTTACTCTTATTCTAGTAAGTTTTAGGCGTAAGTTCAACGCCTAACGTTGAATTTTAGAATTCTACTCTCTTCTTAGCAAATATGGCATTTTGTGAAACCCATATTTTCGAAATCTGTTTGTGTTTAGCTGTGTATATTGCGTTGTACAGATCCCAGTACATGGGACAGGTCATCAAATACGCCATTGTTTTTTTGTTAACCTTCTCAATTTAATACTACTTGAGATATAAAATAAAAACCGTAGAACAAATGTTATACGCCGATAAAACGACTACGACGATAACATTATCAGCGTCGTAGGAGAATCATTTTGAGATGTTATATATAAATATTGTACACTTCATCAACGTAAACCACACCTGCGAATAAATTACCATTATCATCATTAACATTATCGTTACCATCACCTCTGGCATTGCCATTGCCAGTGTTATTGTCATTATATTTTTATACACCTATTAGAATGAGAATTAAATTTTGTTTTATTAGTAAAATAGCAAAATATCCTTCCTATATGTGTTAGTATTTCTGATTATAATTTTCTATAAATGTTTGCAGTCGATTTTGATAAGCTATTAATGCAGCCTCGGTTCAAAGCCATCGAGAAAATTAAGACCATTGGCGCTACGTACATGGCGGCTTCTGGGTTAAACCCCAATCATAATGTAAGTTGTAAAATAGCGTATAATGTAAAGTCTATTGGTTTTATAGAAAAAAATTCTTCATTTCAACTGAACTGTGTTCGAACCAGTGTCTGTTGCGTCACCGTGGCTATAACTCTCACCAACTGAGGCCAGAGTAGCTACGGTGAGTCAACAGATACGGGTTCGAGACCAGTCGGATTCGGCGGATTTTTATGTGTTTATTTGAACTTTGTATCAATACAACAACAATAATAAGAAATTAGTTCAGTATTTTGACAAAAAACATATAAGTATCATGTTTAGTGGAAATATAATGATATTCGATAAAATAAATATTATATATGGATTATTTATTATTTCAGACTGGTGAAGATGATAGCGAACACCTATGTGCTCTGGTTGACTACGCCTTTGCGTTAAAAGAGGCATTAGAAGACATCAACACGCATAGTTTTAATAAATTCCGCCTTAGAGTAGGTGAGTATTTGCATTTGAATTCATAAATGGATGAATATTTGCTACAAATTGTTGATGGATGTGTATTAGCTACGAATCCATAAATAGATGAGTATTTGTTAGTAATTTCTGATTGATTGATTTTGTATTCAACGTTTTAGTATACTATTCAGAGCTATTGATGTATTGCTATCTCGCTAGTATAAATATAGGCGACTCGCGGATTTGCCGCGCAGAACAAAATTACCGTTGCGGTGAGCAGACGTAACATATGCAGCTACAGGTATTTGTTAGGAATTCTTAAATGGATGAATACTTGCTACGAATTCATAAATGGAGTAAAAAGAGAAACAACCTATTTAAGATCAAAGAAAACTGTTGGTTGCAAGTAGTTCACGACCTTCGTATTCGTCATTGTGATATTAAAGGGCACGAAGTGCAAGAACTCAGAAGAATGCAAGTTTGGGTAATTTTGTTGTCAGGTATAAGTTGCGGGCCATTGGTCGGCGGTGTAATCGGGGCTAGGAAGCCAGTATACGACATCTGGGGCAACACGGTGAATGAAGCATCGCGTATGGAGAGTACCGGCGCAATGGGCATGATACAAGTCACCAAGTACACAAAACAGGTAATATCAAATAGCGCAAAGGTTTTTTTAAATAATATCATGGGACGGGACGAACAAGTCGTGTGCCTGATGCCACTCAAAGCTTTAAATCGCAAAGATCTGAAGGGCACTGCCACTACGCCCGTCACCCTGAGACATAAGTTAACAAGTCCCATGTGCCTGTAATTTCACCAGCACCCTTACCCTTCAAAACCGGAACACAGTAATATTGACATTAAGGCTTGGCGGCAGAAATAAGCAAGGCCACCACTCCAAATATAATAAGACAAATAGGGCAATTCCCGCCTGGTCGTTGCGTTAATGCCTACACTTCACCTGGAGCGTAGGGCTGTCAAATTGTTTTAAACATATCTGCAGGTTATAAACATAATTTGAAAAAATTAAGGTGTATACATCACAGTATTCTCGTTCTATATTTCAACATAACATTTGTTAAATGCTTTACTTACGTATTGATATTTTTATACCAGGATCGCAGATTGGTCTATCTTGATTAAGGGAGTATGATTACGAAATAGAAATGAAATGCTGAACAATTCTGAATCTGAGGCACTCTTGTTCACACAACCAAAACTCAACAGTAAACACGTTTATTATTTTGATGTCATTTTTAAACAGCGAACAAACGCTTCAATCGCTTGCGACAACACTCGCTATGCAACGCGAGTGCACCGCGAGATTATGCAAATGTGTGCGTCCGTAAGTGGCGTGCGGCGGGTGATTAGATATACGAGTCGCGCTGCTAAGTTTGTATTTAGATGCCACACTTGGCTTATTGTAGTGACTAGTGTAGTTATCACTCTTACTATAATTGGTGTATCCTCAGCTACAAATTGTTTCTTTGAATTTTATTGAGCATATTGTAAAACTTCTGAAATTGTCAATATCTAATAATAATGCATTTCGCTTAGAGTGGATAGATAGATAGATATTATACTCTTTATTGCTCACACACAAAAACAAAAACGGTACATAGGCAACTCACAAAATTAATGTGGGAAAAGCCGGCCTTATTGTTGAAAACTATCTCTTCCTGACAAGTACTAGCAGTAGAGCTCCTACCTTACCTATTTCTGCCGCCAAGCAGTAATGTGAGCATTACTGTGTTCCAGTTTACAGGGTAAGGGTGCTGGTGAAATTACAGGCACGTGGGACTTGTCAACTTATGTCTCAAGGTGACGGGCGCAGTGGGAGTGCTCCTCAGATCTTTGTGATTTAAAGCTCTGAGTGGCACTGTAACTGCTATGGACAGGCGTGTCGCTTTCTACCAGGCGCGCGACTTGTTCATCCCGTCACTTGGAATCATACAAAAAAGAAAACCTTTGAGACAGAGGAGAACTAAATAGAGAGATGCCACTGGTAAAAAATTCATTTACTTCGGATATCATGGACTTCATCACCAACAAATGCCTTTAACGCAGCTCCTGGACCGTCGCGGCTATGAGCTTGAAGCTCGCGGGGCCGTAGAGGTTAAAGGCAAAGGCCGTATGGAGACGTGGTGGGTGGTGAGGCAGCGAGGCGCCGAGGGCCGTGGTCCCGCGCCCACCTACGCTGCACCGCGCTCTTTGGCCGCTGTGGTCTACACCATGCTGCAGGCCAGAAAGAGGATATATACGCACCCGCTAGATGGTGCTACTTGTGTACAACGTGAGTAACATAATGGACTCATTTAACTGCCTCCGGGTCGAACGGTTACATTTATTTCTCTAGTGAGTTTGGGCGTAATTTGTGGTTGTCTATGTGTGTTTGTGTGTGTGTATGTGTATGTGCGTGTCGGTGTACATGGTATCCGCGATTCAGAGTTTCCCTGGTGCGAGGCTATGAGTGTGTGCGTTATTTTTTAATTTATTTTTTTAGATCGGGTAATTAGACCTTTTGAGAAGCTGAACAAACGTTTATATTATTGGAACAGAGTTAATTAAATTCAACTCTATAATGCTTGCAATAAGAACAATCCAAAGGGTCAAGGTTGACATGCCGTTAATTATACATATAATAATTATAATATTTTTACATAAAAAACCGACCTCAAAACCCTGAATATATCTACGTGCATAGCTTTATTGAAATCTATTGACAGAAAGTGGGTGAAATCCAATAAACCGGATTGATCCCCTAATTTGCCACTCTTAGAGGTGGAATATTTTCGTCAAACAATGAAAAAAATCATCGAAATCGATTCACATGAAATAACCGCGTAACATACACACAAGAAAATACAAAATACAGCCTAATTCAGAACCTCTTCCTTTTTTGAAGTCGGTTAAAAGTATTAAGAATATATGGGAATCTGTAAAAAGACCATAGTAAAAGTAAAAGTGGTATGAAAAGAAAACAGGAGGGTTTTTTTACAAAAAAAATCATGATTGGTATAGCGGTTGGTTATGCTTAGTAGGTATAGCGTCTGGCACGGTGTGCTAGAAGACGTCGGTTCGAATCCGGCCGGATCGAAGGATTTTTTTCTGAGTGTTCGATCTTTGTATTAATAATTAAAATCATGATGTTCAATAAAATAAATAAAGGAGATATTATTATCATGGAAAATTTTATGAAAGGACTGATATTTCAGAAGTAGTACTAAATAATTGGTAAAATTCCAGCTAAACGCGGTGGCAGTATGCACAGTGCCATACCTTCAAGACAACGATCAACGGAGCTGCGACGCACCAGGTCTAGGCGAGCAGAAACCAGGTAAAATAACTTTATAAACATTTTCTACTTCGTATCGATGGCATACACTATAATGCTTCACATCGCGCCGAAAGGATTTGCCAATCGATGTACTTGCCAATTGTTGCCTAAGGTACGCCAGACATACAGGAAAATAACGGTACGTCGTGCACCCTAACGTTTACTGTTAAACGTTGGAGATTATATAAATTGAAGATTAACAATTAAAGATTCGTGATCTAATCAATCATTAAGTACATTGTGATTAATCTCTAAACCATGGATTCCCAAACTGTTTGACTCACCGCCAGCTTAGGCAAGATAAACAAATTGTAACGCTCGCCACCACAAAAAATAATTAAAAACAAGTATTTTTTTATATTAACTTTACACAAAAATCACAAGGAACAAAAATTATACAGAATTATGTAGTGTAGTTTATATAGATAATTCGTTCCTTTTTTCAAATATGACAACACACCCTTGACAGCATCAACGCAACCCAATTGCTTCCGGAGG